TTTTTTTTTTTGCAAGACAATGTCACAAAAAAGAAGTTGCTGAATAAACAGACCCAGAACAGGAAGGTAAAAATTGTTGCGCTCCGCAGAAAGTGTACCGGGGTGGGAGCCGAAATAGTCAAAAGTCAAAGTTTAGCATTTTCCTTAATAGGCAAAACACAGAATAATTGATTTTTTTTTTTTTTACAAAGGTGCACTTATCCATTACAAATAAATAATAATGATAATAATGATAATAATAATATTAGCACATCTTTTTGCAGGAAAAAAAAGTGCATTTTTTATATATTATTAGGAGCCAGCAGAGCATTGCACCTGTAACAGGGGTGGACTGACAACTCATGGGGCCCCCGGGCAATAGGGGATCATGGGGCCCCTGTGTCCTCACCCACACTCAAACCACACGCAAAAAAGCATATGAAAGGTACCAGGGGAATCTCATGGGGCCCCTTACTGACCCTGGGCCCTCGGGCAGTGCCCGAGTTCCCAAATGGTCAGTCCGCCCCTGACCTGTAATCAGCAGTTAACGGGTGCAATCTCAGGCTCCTGCAGACGGTCAGGGCCGGTTCACACCATAGAAACGCAGTCCAGATGCGCTCCAGATGAGTTTCCACAAGGGCATTTTTTGAAGCATTTTGGTGCGTTCCAATACATTTTCTCCCTTTCTTTCTTCAATTAAAATAGGGACATGTGCGTTCCGGGGCGTTCTACCGCGTTCCAGTGCAGTTCTGTGCAGGAATAATGCAGCCTGTTCTATTTTTTTTTCTGCATCCGGAATGCGCCGGAACTGCAAGCGCTGATGTCAACTGTCATTGACAACCATATCACCGACTTTCTGTGCGTTTTGGATGCAGAGAAAAGGAACTGAACCGCATGGAGTATGAACCGGCCCTCAGTGTAAGCGGTCTCCTTGTATCCCGTATGGGGCCGGCAATGACAGGAAGCATCATTAGAGCGCTCACAGCGTCGTGTTCATTTATTGAGAGCTACAAGCCGGCAGCAGCAATGGCTCATGGTAATTGTAGTTCTCCCATTCACAGAACTCTGAATGAATGACACAGCCGGGTGGGCGGAGCCCTGCATAGCAGAATTTTCTAAATTGTGACAGCGGGCGCGGGGAGAAGGTTCCTGGTCTGCTGTCCCAACTCTCCTGTCATTTTCTGTAGTGGGTGGGGCCTAATGGGTCCCTCCCACAGCACTGTCTCTCCCTGTGCAGGGTGACTGGTCTAGTCTCCACCCCCTAATGTAGTAGGTGGAGCCTGATGGGCCCCTCCCACAACTATCCCCTCTCCCTGTGCAGGGTGACTGGTTTAGTTTCCACCTACTCATGTAGTGGGTGGGGCCTGACAGGCCCCTCCCACAGCTGTATATCCCTGTGCAGGGTGACTGGTCCTGTTTCCACCCCCTCCTGTAGTGGGTGGAGCCTGATGGGCCCCTCCCACAGCTGTCTCCCTGTGCAGGGTGACTGGTCTAGTCTCTGCCCCTCAAGTAGTGGGTGGAACCTGCTGGGCCCCTCCCACAGCTCTGTCTCTCCCTGTGCAGGGTGAGTGGTCTAGTTTCCCACCCCCTCCTATATTTTTCTGTAGTGGGTGGAGCCTGCTTGGCCCCTCCCACAGCTCAGCCCAGTGATGAAGTCACGACTACTTTTACAAGGTAATATCTGGGTGTGGTTAAGCACACAATGTGGATTTGTATCCTTCGTGGCTACTGAGGAATGTATTTAAATAAAGTATTTGAACCCGGAGTCCAGCTGTGGGCCCTGGATCACACCAAGGTGGTGCGGGAAATGCTGTGAATCCTGTGTGCTTCCTGCACCGCATTACAATCGCATCACGTTCATGTGATCCGGTACGGGTGTCAATAACACCCCAAAACAGATTGCAACACGCAAAGCGATTGCCAGAAACCGCATTCCATGGGTGACGTTCAGGTGCGGGTTTAAAAAAAAAAAAAAGTGTCCTGTCCCTCCTTGGTGCCGATGCGATACGATCTGAGCACAAAGTGTCGGCTGAAATGGCATCACAGAGACCCTCGTAATTCCCACAGGAATGCATTGCGATTTCTGTGCAAATTCCATCGGGCATCCCGCAGCGCATAGTGTGGTCCAACCTGGTGCCCCCCCCCCCCCCCTGTCACTGGCTCTGTAGGAGACTGCCTAGGGTACCTATGAGGTTGCAGATTAGCAGGACTAGGACTGTGACAGTCGCAGAGGACGGCTCCAATAATTCAGCAAAAAGCTGTGGAATTTGTCGGCGCGATACGAATGCAGAAAATAATAAAACATAATAAGAAAAGTCCCGTCTCTGGGCCGCCAAGTCCCGTCTCTGGGCCGCCAAGTCCCGTCTCTGGGCCGCCAAGTCCCGTCTCTGGGCCGCCAAGTCCCGTCTCTGGGCCGCCCAGTCCCGTCTCTGGGCCGCCCAGTCCCGTCTCTGGGCCGCCCAGTCCCGTCTCTGGGCCGCCAAGTCCCGTCTCTGGGCCGCCAAGTCCCGTCTCTGGGCCGCCAAGTCCCGTCTCTGGGCCGCCAAGTCCCGTCTCTGGGCCGCCAAGTCCCGTCTCTGGGCCGCCAAGTCCCGGCATTTGGGCTGCTTTGTGTTCTATTCTTGAACTGCACAGATCAGCAAAACCTCAGAATCCCACGGATAGCTTTCAGATGTGCGACCGTCCTGCCAAGAACAGTTCAGTGACCCCACATACACACACATGCATGGGGGGAGGGGAGGGACAGGGACACGGACACCAGGACAGAGGTGACCCCGTGTACACACACATGCATGGGGGGAGGGGAGGGACACAGACACCAGGACAGAGGTGACCCCGTGTACACACACATGCATGGGGGGAGGGGAGGGACACGGACACCAGGACAGAGGTGACCCCGTGTACACACACATGCATGGGGGGAGGGGAGGGACACGGACACCAGGACAGAGGTGACCCCATGTACATACACATGTATGGGGGACATGAATACCAGGATGGAGGTGACCTCGTGTACATACACATGTATGGGGGGAGGGGGACACGGACACCAGCACAGAGGTGACCCCATGTACACACACATGTCCCCGCCACACGTGTCCCCCCCACCACACCCCACCATACATCATATACACCCCCTGCACACTCCCATCCCCCCACCACACCCCCCATACACCTTGCACACCCTCATCCCCCCACCACACCCCCCCATACACCTTGCACACCCCCATCCCCCCACCACACCCCCTATACACCTTGCACACCCCCATCCCCCCACCACACCCCCCATACACCTTGCACACTCCACCCATACACCCCACCCCCACATACACCACCACACACCCCCACCCCCATCCCCCCACCACACCCCCCATATACCTTGAACACCCCATACCATACACCCTCCAGTACATCTCACCCATACACCCCACCCCCAGATACACCCCCATCCCACCACCACCCCCCCCATACACCTTGCACACCCCATACCATACACCCCCCCCAGTCGATCCCACCCATACACCCACATATACCCCCATCCCCCACCACATCCCCCATACCATACCCCCCCCCAGTACATCCCACCCATACACCTGCATATAGCCCCCCCCCCTCCACATACACCCCCATCACACCCCCCATACACCTTGCACACCCCCATCCCCCCACCACACCCCCCATACACCTTGCGCACCCCATATCATACATCCCCCAGTACATCACACCCATACACCCCACCCCCCCCCCCACGTACATCTCACCCATACACCCCACCCCCCCCCCACGTACATCCCACCCATACACCCCACCCCCCCCCACGTACATCCCACCCATACACCCCACCCCCCCCCCACGTACATCCCACCCATACACCCCGTTCCAGTACAGTTCTGTGCAGGAAAATGCCGCTTGTTCTACTTTTTTCGGCATCCGGAACTGCAAGCGCTGATGTGAACGATGACACTGACCACCAGATCACCGATTTTGTGTGTTTTGGATGCAAAAAAAAAGCAACTGAAATGCATGGAGTGTGAACTGACCCTGAATGAGACCTCAGGAATGTCTCCTCTGCCCCCCCCCCCCGGTCCAGCTGACCGAACACGCTCTGTTCGGATCCACCTCTTACCTGCTCAGATAAACGCAGCAATCGCCAATCAGCTCGCCCCGCCCCCTCCCAGCTGGGGATCGCCATGATTGGACAGTGATCACGGACAAAGCAACGTGGACTAAATGCAACATTGTCACAAATGGGAAGCGACAGATCCCGCCCACGCAGCGCACAGAGGCCCCGCCCATGCAGCGCACAGAGGCCCCTCCCACATACATGTGTATGACCTCCCCCTCCCCCATAGATCTACATTGATGAAAAAAGGTTATGCTATAAAAACAAACTTTAAAGCGGAGTTCCACCCAAAAGGGGTCTTTCTCCTCCACCCCTCTGCTGCCACATTTGGGGGAGGAGGGGGGAGGGGATACTTGGTTTTGACAGGTACCAGTTCCCACTTCCAGCTTAATTTGCCGCGGTGAACTGATCCAGCCGGTCGGCCCCCTCCTTCCCCCACAGCCTTCTGGTACACTTCACAGGTCCTGGAGGAGTGCGGCCCAGTCACCAACCGCAGCTCACTTCACGCATGTGCAGGAGGAAACCGGCTGTACAGCCGCAAGGCTCCACTGCCTGTTTCCCTTCGTCAAGATGGCCGCGCCAGCACCCGACAGGCATCCGAAGAATCGGCTCGGGGTGAGGACGCCGCTGGATCCCCAGACAGGTAAGTGCCCTGATATTAAGTCAGCAGCTATTGAGGATTTGTAACTCCTGACTGTGAATGTTTGTTTTTTGTTTTTTTTGGGGGATGGGGTGGGGGTGGTGGAGGGGGGGGGGGGGGGGGGGCAGCCGAACCTTTACTGTTCTATGGAACGAAGAATTCATGTCAATACAATACAACCCGCATGAGTCTTCTCCTGCAACATGCTGATTGCCGTCTGGGACGCGGTTAGAGGGAAAACCATCCCGAGTGCCTTACCTGCAGAGCTGCGAACATCATCATCTCCTCCTCCGTACATTCGATCTCCTCCAGCAGAATGGCCCACTTGGCTTGTTCATAGAGCTGATTGATTCTGATGGCGTCATACTGCAAGACAGCGACACAGACATCTGGAAGTCATTCGAGAGTATTCCTGCCAACCTGACACAGCAAACAAGTCTGCACTGCCCTGCGAGGCCACAACGGGGCGCTCACGCTGCAGAGAGCACGCCCAGCCTTCAAATCCCCCCCTCCCAAGTCTCCCCCCCCCCCCCCCCCCCCCCCCCCCGGTCTCCCCCCCCTTAAGTCTTAAATCCTCTCTACAGCCTCCCCTTCACTCCTGCACAGGTGGGCCAGCTCCTCCCCTGCACAGGTGGGCCAGCTCCTCCCCTGCACAGGTGGGCCAGCTCCTCCCCTGCACAGGTGGGCCAGCTCCTCCCCTGCACAGGTGGGCCAGCTCCTCCCCTGCACAGGTGGGCCAGCTCCTCCCCTGCACAGGTGGGCCAGCTCCTCCCCTGCACAGGTGGGCCAGCTCCTCCCCTTCACTCCTGCACAGGTGGGCCAGCTCCTCCCCTTCACTCCTGCACAGGTGGGCCAGCTCCTCCCCTTCACTCCTGCACAGGTGGGCCAGCTCCTCCCCTTCACTCCTGCACAGGTGGGCCAGCTCCTCCCCTTCACTCCTGCACAGGTGGGCCAGCTCCTCCCCTTCACTCCTGCACAGGTGGGCCAGCTCCTCCCCTTCACTCCTGCACAGGTGGGCCAGCTCCTCCCCTTCAGACTTGAACAGGCGTACCGGCTCCTCCCCTGGACTGGAATGGCTTCCTCTGATGTCACTGCACACTGGGAGCTTCTCACAGTGTGTATTGGAAGCTGCAGCCAATCAGACAGAGCTCCACCTCATTGCCCAGCATCATCCAGCCCTTTCCTCCCCAGCCTGACTAATTGGCCCCGCCCCTTTCATTTCTTGGATTTCAGCTCTTTCCATCATGGAGGCTCACCATCACATGCATTACCTAGGGTCATCTGTATGAATCGCCCGCTCCTCCAGACTGACACCCACCAATCAGGGAATTTTGATATTAGCATAACTCCTCCCATAAACCAGCCCACTGCTTGCATCAGGACTGAGGGGTCTTGAGAGGAGTACTGGGGCCAGGTGCTGGAATGTTTTCAGGCAGCTATGTACAGCCCTCTTCTGGCCCCTCCCACCAGCCGCCATGATCTGCCTGCATTGCATAGAGAAGCACAGAAAACCAGGGTTGACATGGGGGGGGGGGGGGGGGCGGATGGAGAGAACCTCTGACAAGTTTTTTTTTTTTTTTTTTTTTTATTGCTTTTTGTACTTTTACTGGGATGGGGGGTCAACCTTACTACCCCTATAGTGACCCTTGACAACGGGAGAGAAAGGTTTGATCAGATCCGTGAAATCAGACCTAGAACTGAATGGAGGATTGTACAGAATGCAACATGAGGAGTGAGACTACAGAGTCGGGGTAGGGGCAACAGGAGGAACCAGATCTTGCTCAGATGGGGAGGGGGGGGGGGAGGGGAATTATTCCATCAGTGTCTCCCCATACCTGGAATAGATGAACGAATGACATTGCATCGATCTATTGATCTCCTCTATGGCTGGCCATACACGCAATGATACTTCATGGATCTCGTCCTTCAGATCCAATTTGTATTGGTTTCTGGTACAAGCAATGATTTATCGAGTGACCTTTCCTCTGCAGTATCCAATGACGGTTGTCACATGTATGGACGACACGTGTTCCGGGCAGCAGCACCGGCTCATATCAGCAGACAGCAGAAATCGGTTTACGCCAACTCTGGGCACATCTGCTGGGTTAGAGGTCGTCCCGTCACACGGCGCAGATTTCACTGCTGACCCAGTACAGAATGTTTACACAACTGAAACCCGGCTGGTGAAGGAGGTCCTACTCCTCCTCCACATACACTACATGGGCAAAAGAATGTGAACCCCCCCCCCCCCCCCCCCCCCCCCAATGATGGTGTTCAGATGTCTTCAGGGTCCTGGTAATACTTCTCTTCCATACTTTTAGTGACAGTTGGGTGAAGACCCCTTCCAGGTCCCCCATGACTGCATCTCAGGGCCCGGCCAGGGCACAGTTACACGGCCACTTATTTAATTATCCTCACCGTTTGTGTGCGTTTGTCTCAGATGGATGGAGGGTGAGGGTCCTCCAGGATGCCCTGAAGTCTAGGGGGGAGGATGTGTGGCCCTTAGGTTCCTTCCTCCCCGGTTCCCAGGGAAGGGGGTCTTTCTTCGGGCGAGCTCCCTGATCTCGAATTTGGTGGTTGGCTTTGGCTAGCCACAAGGAAAGGTGTCCACCAGGCCTTTTGGCTAGGTGGACCATGTCAGAAACCCTGTGTCCCTGTCAGGAGCATTGTGCCCCGGGGATCAGGGTAGAGGTTCAACCCATTTCGGGGGGGGGGGGGCTGGACAAAAACACACCCCTAAGTGCACTTTTTTGTTTTGGCGGTTTGCATGTTTTTGTTCACTTATGGGTTTTCGTTTTTTCACACTTCCACGGATTTATTAAAAAGATGACTGTCCCCATGTACAAAGCCAGCTCCATACAGACATGGATGACCAGTTTGGTGAAGACCCTTTTCTGTTCCCCCATGACTGTCCCCTGTGTACAAAGCCAGCTCCATAAAGACATGGATGACCAGTTTGGTGAAGACCCTTTTCTGTTCCCCCATGACTGTCCCGTGTACAAAGCCAGCTCCATAAAGACATGGATGACCAGTTTGGTGAAGACCCTTTTCTGTTCCCCCATGACTGTCCCCTGTGTTCAAAGCCAGCTCCATAAAGACATGGATGACCAGTTTGGTGTGGAGGAACTCCAGTGTCCTGTACACAGCCCTGACCTCAACCTACTGAACACCTTTGGGATGAACTGGAATGTCAACGGTGAGCCAGATCTTCTCATCCAACATCAATACCCGACTTCACAAATGGGTACAAATTCCCACAGACATCCTACAAAATCTTGTGGAAACTTTTCCCAGTAAAGTAGAGGCTCTTAGAGCCAAAAAGAGAATGGGGGGGGGGGGAACAACATCATATTAGGAGGAGCAAGTGCACGTTGATGGCCACGACGGGGGGGGTAAGCAACCCCATGCTGATGGCCACGACGGGGGAGAAGCAACCCCATGCTGATGGCCACGACGGGGGAGAAGCAACCCCATGCTGATGGCCACGACGGGGGAGAAGCAACCCCATGCTGATGGCCACGACGGGGGAGAAGCAACCCCATGCTGATGGCCACGACGGGGGAGAAGCAACCCCATGCTGATGGCCACGACGGGGGAGAAGCAACCCCATGCTGATGGCCACGACGGGGGAGAAGCAACCCCATGCTGATGGCCACGACGGGGGGGAAGCAACCCCATGCTGATGGCCACGACGGGGGGGAAGCAACCCCATGCTGATGGCCACGACGGGGGGAAGCAACCCCATGCTGATGGCCACGACGGGGGGGAAGCAACCCCATGCTGATGGCCACGACGGGGGGGAAGCAACCCCATGCTGATGGCCACGACGGGGGGGAAGCAACCCCATGCTGATGGCCACGACGGGGGGAGCAACCCCATGTTAATGGCCAAGATAGGGGAGCAAGTCCATATTAATGGCCAAGATGGGGGAACAACTCCATATTGATGGCCATGGTTTTAGAATGATACATCCAACATGCTCACATGGGTGTGATGACTAGGAGTCTACAGACTCTTGGAAATGTATGATATGTGTATATGTGGACAATGCTCTAGTTGAAGCAGGATGGGGGTAATACGCCCTATGGACTACGTGTTCAGTGGAAGGAGGAGGCATGTAAGTGGCTACAGGAGCGCGAGAGGTTAGGTAGGAGATTCGCTAATCCCCAAATATGCAGTCCAAAAATTGGGCAGGAGAAGAAGTTGGTCATTAACCCTCCAATGCATCTTTTTGAATATTTACAAAAGGTCCCATCTGACCCAGTTTTGATCTTTCCACAGACGCCCAGTATAAAGGAGACCCACAGAAGTTCTTCATTAACCAGTTTGACCCTTGAAATACCCGTCTGCTTCAAAGATGTCTGCAAGTCGGTGCAGCTCACCGGGAGGAAGCGAAAGCATTGAATTACCTTGGGGTTCAAGTCAAAGAAGCTGTGGTATTTAAATCGAAGTAGCAAGGCTTCATTATCCTTCACATCTTGTTCCATGAGTGATCGGGAGGAGTCCAACCACCTGCAACATGGTAAAGGGAAAGCAGAGTGCGGTCAACAGATTGGACTTTTATTTGAAGCATTTATAAAGCTGAACTCCAGGCAAACTGCGCTTTGCCCATTCAGACAGAAGAACACGACTCACCCTTGGCTTATCTTGGCTTTGTCAAGAAGGGTTTGAGGCTTGTATAATTTGGCGAGAATATCGGGAGAGGTGATGGGTTGGCTGACGGCTAAGATCCCAGGATTGCCCTCAGAGAGGGCGCTGTCACCAAACCATGCCGAGGTGGGCGATAGGGGGCTGCCGTCCCGGGAGTCGTAGGTGGGAGTCATGGTCTTGCTGTACAGCCCGGGACTTGAGTATATACTTCCTAATACAGAGAAGAAAAAAAAAAGAAGAAGGTTTTAAGGCAGCGCACAGGACGAGACCAGAACGCAGATTTTCTTGCATGCTTTAGCACACGTCAGATGCACAAAAAGGAAGGAAAACGAGGAGTGAAAACAGAACAGAGACACAAGGCCCAGCAGGCAGCCAGACTCACCTTTAAACAGGACCAATGTAAAGAACATCAGAGCCTAAAGAAAGGAGGGGAAAAAAAAAAAGAGAGGAAATGAGAGAGCCAGAGAGAGAAGTGAAGGGGGGAGGACGAGATCTGGAAAGAAAAAATCCTGAGCACTTGAAGAGACACATCCAATTCTGTTACAGAAAACCTGTGCCGGAAAAAATGCCAAGAGAGTCATCTGGTTCTGCATTTGCTCGCTGGCTTCCTGTCAAGCTCAACCGGTGTCTTTAAAGCCCATTTGGTCATGATTGGGAAAAAATGTGGTTACAACTGGGGAAAACCTGGACACAACGGGACAAATTAGGCCAAAGTAGGAAAAAGCCCCCCCCCCCCCCAACCACTAATCCACAACTAGGGACTAGAGTCCTTTCTAAGTCCCTGTTAACTTACCTGTACACGATAACACGTGAAACTCCACAGCGCCCCTCCCAGGAGTGAACACCGGTGATCCAATGCTGCTGTCTGGGCGAGCGGTCAGTCTTGGTTCCGCCCCTTCGTTGTGACCTCATTATGCTACTATACTTTAGGGGCCTGTGAGGACCCTACTGATAGACCCAACGGGACGTTCCTAAGTCACCATGTAGTGTTGCAGGCACCAGAAGGCGGCTCTTCCCATTCTATAGATCAGAAGAGAGAAGACCCGGTACCGAGTGTACCAGGTGATCACAGATTCAGGTAGTATAAGGGTGGCCTTGTGGTGACGGTTTGGTGAAGACCCTTTTCTGTTCCCCCATGACTGTCCCCCGTGTACAAAGCCAGCTCCATAAAGACATGGATGACCAGTTTGTTGAAGACCCTTTTCTGTTCCCTCATGACTGTCCCCCGTGTACAAAGCCAGCTCCATAAAGACATGGATGACCAGTCTGGTGTGGAGAACTCCAGTGTCCTGTACAGAGCCTTGACCTCAGTCACCTTTGGGATGAATTGGAACACCAATGGCAAACTAGGTCTTCTCATTCAAAATCAGTACCTGACCTCACAAATGGGCACAATTTCCCACAGACACCCTCCAATCTTGTGGAAAGTCTTCCCAGAAGAGTGAAGCTTGTTAGAGCCAAAAAAGGAGGGGGGAGGTCACCATAATCGTGGCCATGATGGGGGACCAACTCCATAATCGTGGCCATGATGGGGGACCAACTCCATAATCGTGGCCATGATGGGGGACCAACTCCATAATCGTGGCCATGATGGGGGACCAACTCCATAATCGTGGCCATGATGGGGGACCAACTCCATAATCGTGGCCATGATGGGGGACCAACTCCATAATCGTGGCCATGATGGGGGACCAACTCCATAATCGTGGCCATGATGGGGGACCAACTCCATAATCGTGGCCATGATGGGGGACCAACTCCATAATCGTGGCCATGATGGGGGACCAACTCCATAATCGTGGCCATGATGGGGGACCAACTCCATAATCGTGGCCATGATGGGGGGACCAACTCCATAATCGTGGCCATGATGGGGGACCAACTCCATAATCGTGGCCACGATGGGGGACCAACTCCATAATCGTGGCCACGATGGGGAACCAACTCCATAATCGTGGCCACGATGGGGGACCGACTCCATAATAGTGGCCACGATGGGGGACCGACTCCATAATAGTGGCCACGATGGGGGACCGACTCCATAATAGTGGCCATGATGGGGGACTGACTCCATAATACTGGGTTTGGTTTTCTTTTCTTAATTACTAGGGTGGTTAACTGGGGTGGAAGGGGTTAATGTTTAGTGCAGGGCGATTCCCTGGCCAGCTTTCAGAGTCACTGACCTGGGACAACCGCACAAGTCAGGGATTCCGGAGTCATTTCGACTTCTCTGGCTGCAAACTCTACACAGACACAAAGCCATAGACAGCCAGGCAATACATTTTCAGGTGGTCAGCAATGGCAGCCAGCATATGGCTTCCCATTAAGTAGAACCATTCTACGTCGCCTCGCAGCCACCAATCATTTACAAGCATGCACCAGAAAACTGCAGCTGCAGAAAAAAAACCATAAATCTGATTGGTGGCATTAGGGACTCCTCTCACAATGGAAAACTCAGGATAAGTGGTGGGGGAGGGGGGACTGGTTGGCTTTCCTCAATGGTGTTTTGCTTTTATTACAAAAATACACCAAATCCCGATCTATAGGGGACAATCACGGGATAATCAGGGCGAGTCGGTTATACTTCTCTCCACAACTCCGATGCACAGATTGTCCCCATTACAAGCCGACACCCCACCACTGCCACCAATAGAAGGAAGCCGGCTCCAACACGGTCCATGATCCACTGGCTTCGGCAACAAATACACAAAGATGGAGCCCCTCAACTTCCACAAGTCCAGAGTATGTTTTATAAAATGTTGTCAAATCGAAGAAAAATCCACCGGACCCTCCTACGCCCTTCACTCCCCAAGGAGCTCAGTCATAGGGTCTAGGAGAGTCGTTGTGACCAAGGAGCTACGCGTTTCACTCCCCAAGGAGCTCAGTCATAGGGTCTAGGAGAGTCATTATGACCAAGGAGCTACACATTTCACTCCCCAAGGAGCTCAGTCATAGGGTCTAGGAGAGTCGTTATGACCAAGGAACTACGCGTTTCACTCCCCAAGGAGCTCAGTCATAGGGTCTAGGAGAGTCGTTATGACCAAGGAACTACGCGTTTCACTCCCCAAGGAGCTCAGTCATAGGGTCTAGGAGAGTCGTTGTGACCAAGGAGCTACGCGTTTTTTTCACTCCCCAAGGAGCTCAGTCATAGGGTCTAGGAGAGTCATTATGACCAAGGAGCTACGCGTTTCACTCCTTAACCCCTTTGTGCCCGTGCCTCCCGGCCCTTTAACAGTTTCAGAAGCTGGGAGGTGGGCGGGGTTTTAGGGTCATGTGACCACCGTGATTCGCCGGCACATGATCGGGACAAGGTCCCAAGCGCAAGGGGAGATCGGGACCTTTCCATGAGTCATGGACATATGTGCTGGGAGCATGCAGGGCGCGCACTCTCAGCACACATGTATTTTATAAATGGTACGCAAATATACGCCCGCTCGGCGTCAAGGCCCAGAGGCCACATATTTGCGTGCGCTCGGTGTCCAGGGGTTAAAGTGCTGAGTCATAGAGACTCTCATACACTGACTATGCTCCTTAGGGAGCGGAACGCGTAGGAGGTCAGGTGGATATTCCTCGTGTCGGATGACTTTAAATAAACATACCTGGATTTGTGGAAGTTGAGCAGCTCCATCCGTAGGAGACTTTTCACAGCGTTAAAAAGTGAAAAAAAAATCATCTGAAACGCTCAAGAAAAATGCTTCCTTATGTATGTGAAGGTACGGCTGCGAATGTACGGCTGCGAATGTAAATGTACATCTGTGAATGTACGTCTGTGAATGTGTGAATGCGAATGTACAGCTGCGAATGTACGGCTGCGAATGTGAAGGTACACAAGGATATGTATGTGAATGTACGTCCGTGTATGTGAATGTACGTCCGTGTATGTGAATGTACGTCCGTGTATGTGAATGTACGTCCGTGTATGTGAATGTACGTCCGTGTATGTGAATGTATACAAGGATATGTATGTGAATGTACGTCTGTGAATGTACGTCTGTATATGTGAATGTACGTCTGTGAATGTGAATCTGTGTATGTGAAGGTACAAAAGGATATGGCTGTGAATGTGAAGGTACAAAAGGATATGGCTGTGAATGTGAAGGTACAAAAGGATATGGCTGTGAATGTGAAGGTACAAAAGGATATGGCTGTGAATGTGAAGGTACAAAAGGATATGGCTGTGAATGTGAAGGTACAAAAGGATATGGCTGTGAATGTGAAGGTACACAAGGATATGGCTGTGAATGTGAAGGTACACAAGGATATGTCTGTGCATGTACGTCTGTGCATGTACGTCTGTGCATGTACGTCTGTGCATGTACGTCTGTGCATGTACGTCTGTGCATGTACGTCTGTGCATGTACGTCTGTGCATGTACGTCTGTGCATGTACGTCTGTGCATGTACGTCTGTGCATGTACGTCTGTGCATGTACGTCTGTGCATGTACGTCTGTGCATGTACGTCTGTGCATGTACGTCTGTGCATGTACGTCTGTGCATGTACGTCTGTGCATGTACGTCTGTGCATGTACGTCTGTGCATGTACGTCTGTGCATGTACGTCTGTGCATGTACGTCTGTGCATGTACGTCTATGTATGTTTTCACACTCAGGCGTTGCGTTTGCGGTGCCATGTAAAAACTCCTGCTTGCAGCATCTTTGGGGCATGTTTGGGGAGTGAGGAAAAAAAAAAATCCCGCCTCTGAGAAGAAATGCGTCTTCTCATTGAAATCAATGGAAAATGCCTGAAAAGTGCCTCAAAAACGCCTCTGAGAAGGCAGTATTTAAGTCACGTGTCCTATACAAACGCGCAGAAAGTGCGGTAAACATGCGTATGCGTTTTTGCTGTGTGTTTGCGGCGGATCAGTGTGAAAGTAGCTTTAGTTTAGACGCCAAATGATCAGAAAACCAGATGGGAGCCGCCATTGTGAATTTATACTCTGAGATGGCACAGTAAAAAAACTTTACTACGGACAGAGAACGCGATTCGCAGGGCGCGGCTCTACAGTCCGGGGCGCATCACAGTGGTGGCGGGACTGAGCCTGGAAGCGGTGACATCAGCTGGTCGATGTACAGCCAACCAGCAGTCTGTCTTATCCAGGCCACAGACGAGTCGAAATCTGAAAGTTCTGTTGAGCGAAAACCCAAAATCTCTCCTAGGACTGCGCCGCCAATGGTCTCATAGGGTAACATGGAGGGGCGGTTGAAAGAAGCAAAAAAACAACTAAAAAAAAAAAACAAAAGAAAACAAACAAAAAAACAAAAAAAAAAACAAAACAACCCAACCTCCAAAAAAAAAAAAAAAAACCCCAAAGAACAAAAGCAAAAAAAAAAAAAAAAAAAAAACCCCAACTCCCTCCCCCCCCCAAAAAAAAAGCAAAAATACAAAAAAAAAAAAAAAAAAAAAACAACACCCCCCCCCACAAAAAAAAAACAAAAAAAACCTGACGCCCCCAAATGTGGCTGCATAAATGCCCCCCTGTGCATGAGGCCTTAGTATGTGTCGGGGCAAAGTTTTTATAAAAAACAAAACAACCGACATTTCGCAATCGCCTTTTCCCAGGTCGTATCCTTATAAAAAATGCTGCAAGTCCAGAGGAATGCCTGCTGATCCTGCCAGAACTCCAGTGAGCCTCTAACTTCCCCTTGGGGATGACCACATTGACTCTGCTGCATTGAAGTCTCAAGCACTGTTGTCAGCCCCGCCCAGTTCTTTCCTCCTGGACTACAAAACACCTGCATATGTTCTGGAGAGGGGGGAGGTGTTCTCTAGTTCATGGAACTGGACAGCACTTCAAGGGGATTGCAGTACACCAGAGACAAGGTTTTCAGCCTCTTGGGCAGTGGGATGCGCACTGGATTTCTGGCAGACCCCTCTGTAGTTTCCTGGACTTTCAGCGATATTTATAGCGACGTCATATGGGGAGGGGCGCTGAGAGATGTACAGCATAGGATTTTTTTGTTACATTTTTGCTTTAATTCAGAAACGATCCCCAATGAAGGACTGCGGCTTCTTCCTATAAAGAGGACATCGGCTCAGTTCACAAAGCTCGCGGAGAACGATCCTTCTATTCGATTTTAGGGCACGTCCAATGAGAAATGGATTGCTGCAGTCACATGATGGAGAGGAACGCCCCTTATCCCTACGAAAGCTTTTGTGAATGGAGCCAACGGACAATGGAGACGGAACGATCGGCGGGGGGTTATTGGTTGTACAATATATTAGTAACAGATCAATACAACGAATTCTCATCGAGTAATGGATGGGGGGGGGGGGGAGGGGGGGGAGGGGGGAGGGTGGTGTGATACTGACCGGACCCCGGTGTCAGTAAGGCCCCTCTAGTTCCAGAATGTTCTCTTCCGCCTGATCCTCGATCTTTTTCTTTTTTTTCTTAGTCGGATCTCTTGGTTTCCGGAGCAACGAAAGTTCTTCTGGATGTCGGATATCTGCAAGGAAAAAAAGAGAAAAATGACGTCTCCGGAACCCAACATGGCGGCAAAACTGGTCAACGCGGAACACTGGGACCCCAATAGATTGTAAGCTCTTCTACTTCCTGTATCCTCCAGTATACCCCAATAGAGTGTAAGCTCTTCTACCTCCTGCATCCTCCCGTATACCCCAATAGAGTGTAAGCTCTTCTACCTCCTGCATCCTCCCGTATACCCCAATAGAGTGTAAGCTCTTCTACCTCCTGTATCCTCCCGTATACCCCAATAGAGTGTAAGCTCTTCTACCTCCTGTATCCTCCCGTATACCCCAATAGAGTGTAAGCTCTTCTACCTCCTGTATCCTCCCGTATACCCCAATAGAGTGTAAGCTCTTCTACCTCCTGTATCCTCTCCCGTATACCCCAATAGAGTGTAAGCTCTTCTGCCTCCTGTATCCTCCCGTATACCCTCATAGATTGTAAGCTCTTCTGCCTCCTGTATCCTCCCGTATACCCCAATAGAGTGTAAGCTCTTCTACCTCCTGCATCCTCCCCGTATACCCCAATAGACTGTAAGCTCTTCTACCTCCTGTATCCTCCCGTATACCCCAATAGAGTGTAAGCTCTTCTGCCTCCTGCATCCTCCCGTATACCCCAATAGATTGTAAGCTCTTCTACCTCCTGTATCCTCCCATATACCCCAATAGAGTGTAAGCTCTTCTACCTCCCGTATACCCCAATAGAGTGTAAGCTCTTCTACCTTCTATATTAAAGGATAATAATGATCATAAATATATTGATAACAAAGAATAGATAGTGAATAACAATGATAAGTAATGATCGGTAATAATGGGGATAGGAATTGTATTGATAACGATGATATAAAGGACAATAATAATGAAACAAATCCTGTATAGTAATATCTTTATGTCAGTTCACAAAGCTCGCGGAGAACGATCCTTCAATTCAATACCTCTCCCTCGGCCGAGCCGTTCCGCGATTCTCTCCCTCGGCCGAGCCGTTCCGCGATTTTCTCCCTCGGCCGAGCCGTTCCGCGATTCTCTCCCTCGGCCGAGACGTTCCGCGATTCTCTCCCTCGGCCGAGCCGTTCCGCGATTCTCTCCCTCGGCCGAGCCGTTCCGCGATTCTCTCCCTCGGCCGAGCCGTTCCGCGATTCTCTCGCTCGGCCGAGCCGTTCCGCGATTCTCTCGCTCGGCCGAGCCGTTTCCGCGATTCTCTCCCTCGGCCGAGACGTTCCGCGATTCTCTCCCTCGGCCGAGACGTTCCGCGATTCTCTCCTCTCGGCCGAGTCGTTCCGCGATTCTCTCCCTCGGGTTCCCGATTCTCCCCCTTCCGCGTTCCGCGATTCTCTCCGCTCGGCCGAGCCGTTCCGCGATTCTCTCCCTCGGCCGAGCCGTTCCGCGATTCTCTCCCTCGGCCGAGCCGTTCCGCGATTCTCTCGCTCGGCGTCCCTCTTTAATTCACGGGAATATTTCCTAACTCGGCATGGATTGAGAAATCGCATTTTTCAGCAAACAGAAGATTTGGAAGCCGGGTCGATGGCCAGGAATGCAAAGACTTAAAATGTTTAGTATTTAAACTGGCACTGGAAGGAATTCCTGAACCGGCTTTGGAACAAAACAAAAAATGCGAATAGCTGAGCAGCAGCCGAGGCGACGTGTTCCGGCCTTTTAAGGGGAGGATATTGGGGTGCGAATTCTACAATCTGCAGCCCACAGAAGGTAGAGAGTAACATTAGAATGGGGGACGCAAAGCTGCCGGATCACAACCATCATTTATTTATTTCAGGTACTTATATAGCGCCGTCAATGTACTCCTCCCGCGCTTTACATATATATTGTACATTCACATCAGGCCCCGCCCCCGAGGAGCGTACAATCTAAGGTCCCTAACTCACATTCATACATACACATACTAGGGACAATGTAGACAGGAGCCAATTCACCTCCCAGCATGTCTTTGGAGTGTGGGAGCAAACCGGAGTACCCAGAGTAAACCCACGCAGGCACAGGGAGAACATGCAAACTCCAGGCAGGTGGTGCCGTGGTTGGGATTTGAACCAACAACCCGAGGACTGCCAGGGGAGTGCTAACCACTGTGCTGCCTATTTCAGGTTTAGAGTCACCCAAAAAGAAAAGGAGATCCTTTGATTTCACTATACAATGTGACAGAAGCCATGACTGCGCCGACTGCAAGTGGAGATTAGAGAGAAAAAAAACAAAAAACACACACACAACCCCCCCCCCCCCCCCACACACACACAAAAAACATGCAATAAAAAAAAAAAAAAACATAACCGAAAAAAAAAAAAAAAACAACACGCAGCCCCCCCCAAAACACAAAGAAAACAAATACACACCAAAAAAAAAAAAAAAAAACAAAAAAAAAAACGCAACCCCCCCCAAAAATAAAACAAAACAAACAATTACAAGATCTTATTTCACGCTTTGTTCCTTCTCAGTGCTGCTGATCTCCTGCAGCCTCTTTGCACTCTCTACCTACACTACATGGCTCAGGAAGAGCTTCCTGAGGGTGACAACAACAGACCATGGCTGTGCAATGCTGAAACGCAGAATCTCCATCCAAAGGGTGACAACACAAAAGCTCAATTGGGAGACCAAGACAGTGTTGTCACCCTGTAACAGGAAGTGCCTGAACAATGACGCTCATGGCAGGATCATCACTGATTTTTATTTTTTTTTTAAGCGACATATTTTAGAAAGAATGAAATTATTTTTAAATAACATTAACCAGTTAAAGGCCGATATGAAATGTGAGTGACTGCGGTCACATGATGTAACAGAACCAATGTATGGTCCTTATTGGGCGTCCTGTAATTCCCTGCACTGCAGCACTCTGGAGGTAGGCGGAGTCAGGCGGGGCTCTATTCCCTGCGCAGTACATCTAGGTCAGGGGTGTTACACTGGCGGCCCTCCAGTTGTTGCCGAACTACAAGTCCCATCATGCCTCTGCTCTAGGAGTCACGCTTGTAACGGTCAATCTTGCAATGCCTCATGGGATTTGTAGTTCGGCAACAACTGGAGGGGCCGCCAGTTTGACCCCCGTGGTCTAGGTGTATCAATGCACTGCTGCTCCTCCAATCACACAGGCTGGGGTGCAGGGGTGGACTAACAACTCATGGGGCCCCCGGGCAATAGGGGATCATGGGGCCCCTGTGTCCTTGCCCAAACTCAAAAGAGCCTATGAAAAAGGTACCAGGGGCATCTCATGGGGCCCCCTACTGACCCCGGGGCCCTCGGGCAGTGCCAGGGTTTCCAAATGGTCAGTCTGCCCCTGCTGGGGTGGGTCACTTTGTGTTTGAGTTCTGCGTGGCATGGGGTGGGGTTGGAACCCCTGTTGGGTCTTTTACCGATTTCTGTTTCTTCACAGAAAACATTCACTTTGTCTAGGGTAGAGAATCCCTAAAACATCCGCCATTTTTTAATTTTTTTTTAAATTTGACCTCAATTTTTTGGATAGATCTTTAATTCTTTATTTACCGGTATATATTTTTTTTAATTGGCAAGGGTAGGGAATCCTTAAAAAAAGAAATGTCGCCGTTGACATCAATAGATATAATGGAGATATTGTGACATGCGAGTCGCAGCGCGATGACCACACAGCGATTCAACGCACAGGAAGGGTTCTCTGCAGTTCCAGCGTGCGGGATAGAAGAACGATCAGCGCGGCGACCAGGAAACACCCGGATGTGGCGCCTCCTCCGTACCGGACAGAATGGTATCCGCTGGCGGGGCTCTCATGTCTCTGGATGGGGAGGGGTGGGGCTGCTAAATCTGTTCTATGACAGAGCTGCAAAGGCTGCGCCCCCCCCCCCCCCCCCGACACCCGATCTGCCCGTCCCGTGTGTGGCCCGCCGATGACACAGATCTGAGTGTTTCTGTCTGCACCGGCGATCCTCACCCGTCACACAACGGAGTCACCGGTACAGGAGAACGGGCAAATGAGACACTGCCACCTGAATACACACCTTACCCCCCTCCCCCCCCATTATATACACCCTCCCCCCCCCCTCCATTATATACACAACACCTTAACCCCTCCCCCCCCCTCCATTATATACACCTTACCAACCCCCCCTCCCCCCCATTATATACACCTCCCCCCCCCCTCCATTATATACACACAATCCCTCGGTCCCTCCTACCCCCTCCCCCCCCCTCCATTATATACACCTTACCCCCCTCCCCCCCCATTATATACACCCCCTACCCCCCCCCTCCATTATATACACACCTTACCCCCTCCCCCCCCTCCATTATATACACCTTACCCCCCCTCCCCCCCCCCTCCATTATATACACCTTACCCCCCCCCCCCCATTATATACACCCTCTCCCCCCCCCCTCCATTAAATACACACCTTACCCCCCCCCCCCCCCCCCCTTCCATTATATACACCTTTACCTACCCCTCCCCCCCCCCCTCCATTAATATACAAAACACCTTACCCCTCCCCCCCCTCCATTATATACACCTTACCCCCCTCCCCCCCCCCCCCCCTCCATTATATACAACCTTACCCCCCCAACCCCCCCATTATATACACCCTCCCCCCCCTCCATTATATACACACCTTAACCCCCCCCCCCTCCATTATATACACCTTACCCCTCCCCCCCCCCCCCTCCATTATATACACCTTACCCCTTTAACCCCATTAAACACCCTCCCCCCCCTCCATTATATACACCTTACCCCTCCCCCCCCCCCCATATATTACACCTTACCCCTCCCCCCCCCTCCATTATATACACCTTAACCCCCCCCCCCCCCCCCCCCCCATTATATACCTTACACTCCATATTATACCATTTTAAAACCCCCCCCCCCTCCATTATATACACCTTACCCCTCCCCCCCCCCTCCATTATATACACCTTACCCCTCCCCCCCCCCCATTATATACACCTAAACCCCTCCC